TGATTGTGGACGCGCTTACGTTAAACAAATTACCCTTTTGTGAGTATTGACTTTTAGTGATCCCAAAGGAAACGTTTACGTATGCAATTTTGTATTTTGCGTACTTCTCATTCATAATCAATCTTTTCTTTTTGTTTTTGCTGCAAAAATTTGGCTGAATTTTATTCAGATTTTTAACAAGCTTTCATCATTAAAACACCAAAAAATTTAAATAATCTAGACTACATGAGAAAAAAGTTTGCTAGTACAAGAAACAAAGGCGTGTCCATAGGGAAGGAGTAAAGGGGGCATAGCCTCTCCTAATGAGCCAAGGATATTTATAAGTAACTATGTATTAAATTTTTTTTGCAATATTTTTATTTTTTGTTTATGTTGTTTTAGGTTTAAAAATAATTATGTGTATAGATGTGTATACCAATATTATTAAAACACACCTATCTTATATTCTTATTTTCGTTGGTCATCCCCCCAATTCTAAAACTTGTGCACAGCTTATGACAAGAATGTCATAACGTAGGTAGTTGATTTTTTCCACTATATGTATAGAACGATTTCATATTTTACCATCTGGTCGTACCAGATGTAATTGAAAAAAAATACTCCCTTTAGAAACATAAAAATCTTAATTGTGACAAAAACTTATGTTCAATATGAAAACTAATGTTTTTACAGAAACTTGAAAAATTTTATTTCTATTCCGGCTAAAAACACTATGAATCGGTTTATAGAAGGCGAATTAAAAATTAATTTCCTTTTAAAAGTTAATGCTGAATCTAAGCATCTGTTTGGTTCAATTTGGTCACGTGACCAATTAATTTGACGTTTGATTGCATTAATTAACTTGATGACGCTTCTATAAACCGGTCCTAAATGTGAGAAGTAGGTATAGGTGCTATACAGGGTGCCCGTTTTTCGAGCACCACCATGGAAATTTCAGTTATTATAAGAGATATGAGAGCGGTTAAATTAGGTCAAAGTTGCGCACTTCCATGCTAAACAAAATATGTTATTTTTAGTTTTTGAATTCTTGAAAAAAAAACCGGAAAGTAATTTTCATTTATAATACAACGAATAGTCAAAAATTGTCGAATATTTTTATGAATGGTCATCGCATTTTGTACACCATGAGTGCCTAGCACACTCGAGAATTAGCTTGTGTTTTATGTCAGTGATGTACAGTCAAATTTTTAAGTAAACTCAAAACAATCTTAATTCATTAATAAAATTTAAATGGAAATTTTCAAATGCAGAATTCCAGTTCTTTTATACCAAACAGTTACTCTTTTTTTGTGCACTTATTTTGCTTTTATCCGGTACATTTTTGAGTCAATACTGGCTTTATTTAAAAGAATGATCAACGATCCGCCTCTGTAAAAAATACAAAGCTTGATTACACTCCGGCAAATAGTGCATATATGGTGACCAAAAAGACTATTTCCGCTAAAAACATCGGAGCATTCAAATGCAAATGAATATCGGAATGTGTTGACATCATTCAGCCTTCTCCTGTGAAAAACAGTTGCTGCACTTTTAATCCCAGACCTTGAATAATTAGCAGTTTCGAAAAAGCGTTTCCCACTTTATTTGTTAGGGGATTTAAGTAGCTGTGACAGTTTTGAGGAGGGCGTCGACTGTTAGGGGTCCACATTGTAGGTGCGTTTCAGTTACCACAGAACAAAAAAGAATTAGCCACGACCATGCATGTTGAAGCAAGTAAATTAAGTCCGTGATCAAACAGGCGAAAGGTAAATGTGCTTTTGAGGTGTACCTAAACTTATTTATTAGTCGTACAGAGAAGTACTTTGTAAAATTGAGTTTGCTGCTCTATCTTTAAATAATGCACATAAAAGGGCATGTTTAATTAAGGCCGCGGTACACAATATTAGTGGTATTTGTGTGATATTTTGTTTGGTGAAGTAATTCCGGTTGTTGTTTCATGATAATAATAATTCTAATAAAATCTGTCATCGTAGTGCGCGTGAGCAGATAAGGGTAAGCTAATGTCAGTTAGTAACGCGATATTCTTTGACATGAAACAGGTGATAAAGCGGTTAAGGTGTAGTTTGTATTAGAATAATGCAAGTCTACGTAAATCTGAGCTTTATTCGCATGTTCCGCGCTCATAAAAAATGTCACATCCTGCACAAAACAGGACTTAATGGACTTGTTATACCGAAATTGGTTTGTGGTCCGTTTTCGGCACTAAATTAAATCTTGTTTGTTTTTATTTCGCACAGTCGACCGCGTGAGAGTTTAATATTCTGGCGGCGCAACTTATGTTTTCTTTATTTTATTACTTCGGAAACTAATAAGGAGGAGCTTAAAATGCAAAGCTGTTTACTGTACCACTACTAGGAGATATGGCGATTCTTCTCGCGGGAGGGATAGGAAATAACCGACCAATTTATTATTCATCTGCCGATGTTCCCTTCAGAGGCCATTAGCGGTGAATTTGTGTCGGATCCCTTTCATCCCCTGCAATTGCCCTTATTGTCAAATTATCACGTCGTTTTAGATACAAGGTGTGGGGAAATACCCGGCAAACCGCCATGCATGGCACATGACGCTTTGGTATTCAAAGTTCCCGCACCCCCGGCGAACATGAAACTCCACTCCGGTGTCTTCCGGATTTGACCCAAGTGTCTCGATATCCCCATTCCACTATGTTATGCTCGCCGCCAGGCTTGTTCCTTCATATTCTATAGACGACCAGTTCGTACATGATGCAGGCCGCCGATTGTTCGTTGTAATTGAAAAATTTGCATACTCTGGCGCATAACGCATGACTCCGGTTTGGTCCGTTTGACAACCGGATCTCTGAAAATATTTTTCAGTGTGCTCCGGAGATATGTTTACAGTATATCTTTGAGAAGACTGGAATTATGTTTTTAACAATAAAACAATTATAAAAGTAAATAACACTACGCATGCATTTTAATAAACTTAATTTAATTGTTAATTTAGTATAGGTAGTTAGGGCCGGTTTCAAAATCGTATTAAATGGACTTTAAAATTAATGTTGGTTTAGAATGTAAAATTTTTGTTACAATCCGTAGTAATCAGCCCATTCTAAACAACATTTAATTTAATGCTTCTTCAATTTTGTTTATGAAACTGGACCTTACCTAAATTGCTTACATAGCTATGATTTTAAAGATATTGCAGTTTTTAGCCTCTTAATTCGTCTTAGTTTAAAAAGTTGTGATGCTGGGTTTGACAAGTCATAGAAATCAGCAAAAAGGTATATGTATAAACTGGAATGTTTTCAACGAACGACGATATCGAAAGAAAAAATAAAACCAAACATGGTCATACAAGATTCCAAAAAATAAATGTAAAATTATTCCTATTGTTATTACAAACTGTCTATTAAACATCAAGAATGGTAAGAACATTTTAGTGATTGAAGACAATTGATTGGAGGAGTGAAGCGACCACTCCAATTATTGTCTGAGATTGATAAGTCCTTAACATTCGTAATTCTTATGACATTTTTTTCACGATTGCTTTTTGTTAATTTTTCTAATAAAATTATATGTATTACGCTGAAGATTGATTGAAGGAAAGTGTCTTTTCCTCCTTGGGTGGTCTCGGTCAGTAACTTCCACTGTGGGATGAAAAGAAACACTTTCCTCCATTGTAATAGTAATTTTTATCAAAACCAGAAACATATTTATTAGTGATTTTACGACTCTGCAGGCCTAAAAATTATTAAATAAAATTAATAAATTATTTAATAAAAATTGCTTTTTTGAAGAGCTACACCCACCTCAGGAAGGTTAGTACGTAACAAAATTTTTATCTTAAAGCGGTCGAAAATTGCGCCTTTCTGTATCTCTGTAGAAACGGTTGAAGTGGCTTTTTTGTAACCGTAGTTGAAATACTTCAAGTCCTAGGAGTTGAAATGTCCACAAGGGCGACTTGACCGAGTCAAATATGAGGTCATTTGAAGCATTTCACACGTTGCAATCACGATTTATTTATCAGTAGTTGCATGAACTACTTAGTAATTAAATTAAAAATATTTAATAATTAAAGCAAGTGTTCAAAATGCTTTCATTGCAGTTCCAAAGAATAAACCAAGCGATTTTGAAAACCCCGCCATTGTATTCCTGATAAATTCAGGATCTACAGGGTGTTTCACATAACTTTACGAGGCTTGCGCCCAATGTACGCACCCAAATATATAAAAGTCACGTAACACTAGATACAAAAAATACACTTCTAACTATTTAATTTTTGAAAACCCATGACAGTAGTTGTCAAACTTATCACTATTTCGCGAGGCGCAGGCCTCGTAAAATTATGTGAAACACCGTGTATATTATTACATTCTGTACGAATACGTTCTTTCAACTCTTCTAAATTTTGCATTGGAACATTAGTATAAATTTTTGTTTTTAAAAATTGTTAGGTGCCAAGTGTGGCGATTGTGAGGGCCATGCGATGCGGCCATATCTTTCGCTCCACTTTGGTGTACATACCACACAAATGGTATTAACTTTTTAAATCTGCGCTTTAAATTTCAAGACTGACACTTGACAAACTTGACATAAAATTTTTGTTTTGAATATTTTAATATCTAGTACATACCCTTTAAAAGCTTGAAATGTTGGTCGCCTACCCTATGAAATTGTCCCGGTTTTTTTAAAAGTATACATAGGGTTATGTATACTAATAAAAAATGTCCCTGTATAATCTACTATTGTTTGCAATTCTGGGAGTAATTAATTGATTCTAAAAACCACCTGAACAATGCTAGGAAGTTACGGCCTTTTTTAATCACCTTATATAGCTTTATGGTGCACTCGTAAGTCGAATTAAGCCAAGCTGAGCTTAATTTTATAATAGAAATTCAGAGTAGCGTATAATGTGTTTATTTTAAGGTGAAATATATAAGTTTTTGCCCGGAAAAGAGCACCCACCACACAATCTAGACGAAATTACCTCGATAAAACATTTGGCTTATTAAAAGCACTTCCGTTTTGTTCTTGTTTCAGGTACAAAGTGCTACAATGTAACCCGCAGCAATAAAGCTTCACTATGGATGTTCGATGGTTCGTCTTCTTCACTCACTTCGCTATCGTCCTGCCTTGTTTTTTCCACCTCACTGCTACTTTTAAACAACAAGGTAACATAAGTAGCAAATTGAAAACTATCTGTGCACGGCACACTTTATTCAAACCAACCAACACCGGTTTATTTCCTACAACTTTTGGGGTTTAATCGTCGTCGTCGACCCACAACGCAACATGCGAAATAATTACCCGTGGGACATTATCCCGAAATTTAAAAAAATAACCCGCCCATTCCTAGCCGGCAATACATTATCGTGCAACAATTTACATTAAAACAGTAAATTTCCGGCCGGTGGATCGATGTGGAAGGGCTTTAAAACGGTAGTGCGGGGCAAGACGAAATGACTGTATAATTCGGACACGTATCTTGCCCGCCGATAAATCGGAATTCTTGCCCCAACGTTTTGATAAAACTTCTCATCCACTTTCACGTACATTTTCGACGATTAATAGTTAAAGTTGGGCGCGCGTTGCATCCATCTTTATTTTCTTCGCCTCGACAAAGACGAATCGTGAGAGATAAAGTGCGTGAGATTATAAAATGGCGAATGCAAATATATCGGGAAGGGTCAGCTCTGAAGGGTCGTTTGCAATTATCGGACCTATATTTGTCTATGTAATGTTAAGGCGATCAATCAAGGTGTTGGCAATCGGCCTCATTGCCAGACAAAAGTGATGAGGGGCGATAAAGAGTTGAGTATTTCTCTACAATCCACATTCAAAGAGAACGAGCCGAATCTTAACAAAGCAATATACCCGAAACAGTTTCATTCGGGTATAACATACTACATTTTACACAGCTCAAATCAGTTTTACTTGACTTAATTTTAGGTAGATTTGCTTAATTTCTCGCATACCTTGCGCACACAATTTTTAGTACAAACAAGACAAAAAGATTGTTAGCAGTGATTTATAAATTAAATAAAGCTTACGGTTTCAGTAATACTTAATTTATGAAGATCTTTCCACTGTAAAATGTTAACGCTGTGATTTTTTCAGGGAAATAAACAGACGGAGTGCAGTTTATCGTCCTGAAATATATCATTTTTTAAAAAAGAGTTATAAGTTTACGACTGCAGCGAATATGTTTACGACTTCATTTTACAACTGACCAAATATTACGGCAATTACTCAGCTGTTTATTACTTTATTAGTTTAGAAATACCTACTTCTTAAAAAAATATAATTTGTCTAACTTTTATCCGTTCTGTTATAACTTCACGATTTTTTTCGAATAACACCTACACTGTGTGAGTATTAATAACACTATATATATAATGGAGTTATGGGTTGGGGCGTTTTTCATAATACAGCCTGTATATATATAAAAAAAAACGTTTTTCATATATATATATATATATATATGAAAAACGCCCCAACCCATAACTCCATTATTTTTTACGACAACACTTCTTAGATCAAAGTTGAACATTTTTTGTCATCTAGCGTTTGGGATAGATGCTAACTAAATTAATGCCATCAAAGTCCCATACAAAACAAATTTATGCAGTTTACAGAGTATCTAAGCCTATGGAATGGTTTTGTGAACAGGCTTTTTTCCCATTTTATAACAGAAATACACGCGGACGAAGTCTCAGGCAGACTTGATAGACCCCCTTGACACCCTCTATAATAAACTGTTGGACCCAATACATCCAATTCACTGTAATTTGTATTCAAATCATCGATATTAAATCATCTATCTATTAATATTATATTGAACAAAACTGATGTAATTCGGTTTTCAAAGTTTAAGTTGAAGACGAAGATGCAGCATATGAGGACAACTCGGAAGACTATAGAACCTCTAATGAAGTATTGGATCCAATAAATTCACTTTACTGTCAATTTTTTTTAATCACAAGACTAATTCTGTTTTAAATGCGGATAAAGCACATTTTTTAAATGATGTTTTTTTTCAGTCCTACACCTTGCTTACGGTTAGTCCTATGCAAAAGACCATTTTTGTAGAAAATTTTATAAGCTCTAATTTTGATAAGAAGGTAAAAACCGATAGGAGTGATCGTTTTTGAAATATAGGCAAAAAAACAAAAAAAGACAATTTTAACTCCCTCCCCCTCCTCGAGCTATAAAGAAAGCGTTTAAAAAAATTCACACTAGAATTTTTTTCCACCGATCGCCCGATTTTTGTCTAATTTGAGTGGACTATTAGATTTGCTATTTTTTTCATTTTAGTTTGAGTAAAAATATAAAATAATGCTAACTGGCATCAGTACTTAAATATTTGACGAATTCTGTTGACCTAATTTTTAAAATCTGAATTACCCATTCCTATTTACAAACAAAAGACAAGTCTAATCACTTTTATCCTAAAACATCTTAAGTGAATGAATAATGGATTTTTGTATGTTTTCATGACAAAGTTATAATAAATAATTAATGTACCTTATACAAAAAAAAAATATGCATCTTATACAAAAAATGCACAAAAGAACTAATTTCTCTAGCATTACTGGTGCAGTTTTTAATTTACATTTACAATTTTAGAGCTAATGCGTTTTACGAGTCATTCTAAATCTAAATCTGCTCGCTAATTAAGTTATTCGATCATTTGAACTTTAATTATAAAGAGCGATTTATATTTTGTGTGCATGATTAATTGATTACATAGGTATAGTGGAAAACTATTTGCGTTGTAAGCATTTTGTGTTGCATTATTATAGTCAAGTAGGCAAACATTTAGCTGACTACTAGATAGTAATTATTTTAATTAAAATGCCACAAAAAATATATCTACATATTTTTTACTAAACTACCATATTAAGAAATTTCCAACCTTTTCTTTTATGAAAACAACATGAGAGTCATTGGTGTTTTTGTATACGTTGGATCGCAAGCGCCTATTCGGAGAATAGGAATTTTTGCATGACTGCATTTCCCTCGTGTACAATATCGGATTGTCACATTTGCATTTTTGATCGTGTGTCGCAATTATAGCGGTTGATGTAAATCGGGGCATAAAACAATTTAAAAAGAATGATAGGCCATCAAGTTTGCATCACGCGTCAGATTGGAAAAATGAAAAAATGCAGAAAAACTTTTAACCAATGATTTCAAAATAATAATCCGACGTGATTTTTTGTTTAATTACAAACGCCTAAATAATTCAATTACGATTAATTTTGGGCCTGAAAAAGCTCTCGACCAGTGCCGCCGCTAAAAATGATACGGACCGTGTAAATTCATCAAAACTGCTAATCTTTGCCTCGCCTGTTCCCATATTCGTCGGTTTCAGTTTTAAATCTGACCCCTCTAGCCGGTCATGCATCTGCATTATCTACATTAGCGCGCTGTCTGTGTGTTTTCAGGGGGCTGCTATTTCCCGGAGCGATGGGAGGGGACGTGGTTCCAGTCGGGGGTCCGACAACCCATCATCATAGAAGGGCCACGACTTAGCAGTAAAGGACGATGTCTAGGATCGGAGGGCGACAAGTTCTTAGTCGTGGATGAGTAAGTGACCTCCTTTTTTTCTCTAGATCCGGGCCCGGGATCGGGTCACGCTTGATTTACACCGGCATCATGAAAACTTCGTCACAATTAAACCCGGCCATTTTTTGACGCATAATTGTGTAACCCTCAAAAATAATTGCGGCCGTCCTGCACAAAACAGGCTGTTATCCTGGACAATAAAGATATTACGCAGGTGAATTTTTTTTTAGATAAATGAGGGATAAAAGGAAGTGGCCGGGACTAATATTATGACATTAATAAAAATGTGTTTTGTTGCAGCAAAAGGGCGTGCTATCGTTGCGTCGTGATTCACGAAAAACACGCAAACGTTCTACAGTACAAAGAAAGTAAGTGCGCTCTATTTTACACTATATGTGTTACTACACTGCACTTTGATTAATGCCTCCAGCTAGTGCATTAGTCACGTCACTTATCCTTCCACAAAGTTATCATTTAACACTGCACAACTTTATTACATTAATTTTATCAGGGCTGACGTTTTTTCCAATGTTCTACTTGTTTAACAACGAGACATCTTGTTAAACACAGTACAAAAATATCGTCTATTAAACGCCTTACTTTCTTGCCACCATCATTTATATCCAAAAAACTAAACAACTTTACAGTCTACATGTTTGTCGTTTGAATAGTCATATAAATAGAAATATCTCACTTACTCTTGCTCTCATATATCATTTCTAATGATATGTTTTGAAACAGCTTCCATAACTTGAAATATTAAGAATCCTATCTTCCTTATAAACCCCCACAAGATTGCTTATTTTAAAGTTACGCAATAAATCAAAACTTCTTGTTCCAAAAATGCTGAATAAGCCAGACTTAGATCAAAGTATTTTTGGTAATTCCGCCCTGTATAAATCTGCACCTAATTCGCAAAATAATAAAGCAATTTCTTGTTGGAATTTTATCTTAGGAATTCTAGTTTCACATACATACACTTTGTACTCGTACATCGTTTAATTTCCCAGTCGCATCTTGAAAATACACCACGAAGAGTTTTCTCCAGATAAAAATAGTCCACCTTTTAAATATTGTACTTTTAACATGGGTTTACTTGGACAAGTTATTTCTCTATGTACAACTATTTACAAAATAAAAGATTTATGCCCGGCTTCTGGAACGATTTAGTATTAGATAATTAGTTAGTTGCTATGGTAGCGCTGATCAGATTGGTGGTTCTAACCGATAAAATTGATCTAACGATAAATCGTTTCAGAAACCGGGCCCTGTTGAAATTGTCGATTTTAAAGCTGTGGTTAGACTGAAGAATATTTCTAAATACTCGTATACAGTATGTTAGGGAATGATTTAGTATAAATTTGAAGGTAGGTAAAAAATGGCAAAAAGGATCAAAAAAGTAAAATGCGTGTATACCGAAAATGCATAGTTTCCACAAAAAATTCGTTTTGAAATTAATAAATTATGGTCCCAAATTTTGAGGACCGCTGAACTGAGATGATGAAGATTGGGGTGCACTTTAAAATTATTGTCAAGACGACGGATGTTAGTTTGTTCCGTGGTCCTTTCGGTTCCGGTTTGACTTTCTAAACCAATGCTTAAAACTCCAATAAGTTCAAATCGCTCTGAAGGCATACTTTTTTCAAAAATTAAGCAAAATAACTATAATTTTGTTCGCTTTATTTGTTACATAGTTTTCAATTTAACGTCCGAGTACATCAGAAAACCACCCCAACTATAGTTTTTCTTTTTTTTTCCAAAATAGTTGTTGCTTTTTAGTAACAGATACAGCTACATTCAAAATAACGGGAAATGAAATTTTTACAAATGTAAATTCGGTTCTGGTTGTCAATTGTCAACTTGACAATACCTATCAAAAATATTTCTATCAATGTCGTTAAATTTATACCAACATGTGTAATATCGCATTTAAGTGAAATAGAGAAAGCCAGAATCGTCGCTTACCTGAAAAATGGCAGGAAAATTATGAATTTAGAGGCAGAATTTAGAGTGCCATCAAAATATTTTAATCTATTTTTGTTTTAATTGTGATAGACAGATTATTTGTTTCATCTAGAATGTAGGTAAAACATGAAAAAACTGAAAAAAAAACCTCTAAAATTTTTTGACATTTCCCGTTTTTTTAAATGTAGTTGTACGTTAAATAGTTATTTACATTAAACGTTCGGTAGGTATAATTTTACAGCGTGAAGTTTTAATATTGAAGCTCGAAGCAAAGCTGAGAGCTTTAATAAAACTGAACGCTGTAAAATACCTAACGCACAAATAATGTACAAAACTTTTTGGCCGAAGACTGTTCTTCGATTAATTTAAATTTTGATTTGTCAAAACCTGACAAGTCTATACGTCTACTACTTTCACCACCAGATAACATTGAATAGAATCTTGCTGAAAAAAACTAAATTGTGTTTATTTTTTAATACTAAATAGAAAAATTTGTGCAGTAACTTCTCTTGGTACCTACCAATGGACTTTATTTATCATAAAGTTTCTTTTTTTCAGAGTCTCTGAAAGCCTAAAATTTTCTTGTTAATTTACAGTACTGCGTCCGCGAAACTGCACAAATTCTTGTAAAAATCAGATACCGTAGCTGTTAAAAATGTGTAAAAATGTCAGTTACAGACCAAAAAATTTATTTAATCTAAGTGTGAATTTTTTTTAATCTGTCACCCTGTACCATGAATTTCTATGTAAATTGAAACAATTGCTAAAAGATCAAAAGTTCAGTTTAACGAAGAGCCAAGTTAGCCAGTCGGCAGTGTACTACGACACAGATATGAAAAAAATTATACAGGTGTCTTAAAAAAAATAATTTTGTACAACTTGATTATGAAACAATTGTTTAGTTCTATGTCTAATAAGTGAGACTGTCAGTGTGACATAAGCATGAACATGAGTCCCACAACCATTCACTTATGAGATGGAAAACTTTAATTGTAAAAAATGAAGAATTAAGTATAGACATAATGATTACAAAAATTACTTAAAATGCCTTCCATTGCTTCAATTGAATTAGACTCGAACCTAAGCTAGTGCTCCATAAATGTGATAGAGCTCATTCCATATGTGGTGGCGAACTGACAGTGACAGAGACACTGTAAATGCGTCCACTTGGTTAAGATAAAAAAATACATTGACGTACTTTAATTAGAGTAGGCGGTGATTAAAGTCCTTCAAATGGCAATCCTGATTTTTGACAACAAATGTCATCGGAAACTTTGACAAGTTTGAGTTTTATTCCTTTTGAGTGAAATAATGTTCACTTTAGAGCAGAAATTTTTTATTGCTGTACAAGACGAAAACGGTGGTTGGTCATTTTCACTTTCAGTTTGTGTGAAAAATTTCCAGCCCAGATTCCCAGCCAATGTGTTGCCAACTGTAGAATTTAATCGACGCCTACTCTAATTTTTTTTTTTTTGATCGCACGGTACTTTTTACAACTAGTAGTGAAATAGTATATGTATTAAAGAACGCGTTTCGTAAGGCAAGTTTTGTAGAACGAGTTTAGCTTTACGAAACAAACAGCGAAGCGCGAGTTTTATAAAGACCAAGTTCCCATAAATGTCTTATGAAACAAGTTTATGCTATTTTTTCTATTTTATGTATTTTACGTCCTTTTTAGACATAAAAGTCAATGTTTAAAATTTTATAAATTTTTGCCCTAATAAGGTGGTTAGTAATAAATGTCACATGGTTTGAAAAAATTCGATTTTCGTAGTGTCAAGTCTCGAATATTTTTTTAAAAATTTTGTTGAATTAACATTGAATACTGCAAATAATTTTAGTTACGCGTTGCATTTACAATCCAAGTTGTCTTATGTTGCTCTGACAGTGCTTTGACAAGCAATTTATGATTTATAAAAAAAAACTGTTTGCCTATCTTTAATGTTTCATTCATTTATATATTCTGTATTGGGTTTACACCGAAAAGATTTCTCTAATTTCTCTAGCATTCCGTGAGAACTGAATGGCACTAATGATCGTTCTCTGCACTGATGTCAGACTGACATAAGATGATAACTTGGATTCAACTTGCAAATCCTAATTTAAATTGGATCTAAGGCGTAAATGAAATTTGTTTTTTGGGTTACATCGCCAGATCGTCAGGCTCATTATCTTATCTGAATCGCCCAGTATTTTATGCACACCACCTAAAATAAGAGAAATCGCTCAAAACACCGCTGAAAATCACCATTACCAACGTCTAGAAAGTAAATTGTACTAATCTATTTCAGAACCCGAATTGGTATTGAAATGGCTCATTTCAATTTCAAAATAAGCTTTCTTTCAGACACAAAATAGAAACAAAAATTTGTTTATATTACCAACCAATCAAACCTCGAAAAAAAAGACGTGGACAATTATTTTTCCAACAGAAATAAATACTTAGTCAAAGTGCAAAATTTAAATCTAACAACTTTTTAAAGATATTTTTTTACATTTTTTCCATGTTCCTGGTATCTTACCGTATAAGGCATTTTTTTGGGGCGCGAGTTCTGGCGCATCCTGTATACATTTACTAATTGGATTAAATCCCAAGTAAAATTACATCAATGTCAAGTGTCTCATTATTGTCTAGAAGGAAAAGGTACATTAAAAAAGGCATATGTACATATGTATGTGTATATAATATAAATAAAATATAAATAAGTATAAAAAATAAATAAAAAAATCATAACTCGTTTGCTGGCTTCAATTTAGTCTTTATTTAATTGCGAGCTTAATTCAGTAGCTAGAGGGAGAATTAAAACAATGAACTCATGTTTTAAAATAAAGTCTATTTTCGCATTAAGTATCTGTATTTTTCGCCCTCTTCGCGTTATGAAACAATGTCTTTTCTTTCTGAACAAAACTTTAAGTAATTTTTCAGACTTTTTAGATTTTATTTTACCTGGTCAGCTTTGCACTTGCATAAACTTTTTGTTACAAAAACACTTAAAAACACGAATGCAAAAATCTTTATACATTCCAAACGTCATATTTTAAGTAACATTTCAAACTCTTCTCCAATATTGGTCCTTGTTTCAGATTTATTGTTTCTACGTTCCTTGTTACCTATTGTCACTTCATCATTTCTCCACTTGTTCTTTTTAGTCATGTTGTATGTACATGAAACATTTTTCTGGTCAAATAGGAAACAATAAAGGCGGATGCGCCGGTTTCGCACGCAACTTGCTTGTGTGTATAATAACTCTGCATTTAATCTTTAATCATCAGAAAATCAACATAAAATTCCGCCGAAAATATTATTAGAAATATATAATTGAAACAGAACAAAAGAGTTGTTATCAGCAAAATCCATTTGTCAGCCATTAAAAGCCAATCATATACACAGGGAAAATTTCGTCGGCGACTAATTTATGATAATTCTGTGTTGCGTCACGCAAGTTTTTCTGTTTCAGCGTTCTGCCACAGTCGAGATTCCCTTCCGACGTTGTGTAGCCTAATAACAGGGGACGCATTGCTCTTTTCCATGTTCAGAGAGAATGCAGCCCCTGTACCTTGTCCATTCCGAGGGCCCTTCACTTTTACATACAACAGGGGCCACGGCGAGTGCCGAACCCCCGTGTCCAGTATCGATACTTGCACGGAAGACAGCAGACTCTTGTTGAGTTATCAGGCGTGTCCTGATGTATACGGGTCGGAAAGCACCGGTAAGTCATTTTATCGTGACAATCAGATAAAGTCCTGCATAAAATTTAAATTTAAGCTATAACAGGATATTCTCTGACATTTATTAAATTGGTCGAGGATTCGATATTTGAATATTTTATTTAAATAAGGCCGGTTATGTGGGTAATATTCCGATGAGTGCTATGACTGAATCATGAAATTTTTCACCAAAAAGCACGGAATAAACTTGGTTGTCGAATGCACTTCCACAGAGAAAAAAAACTAAAAGAGACGAGTACATTATCTAGCGGTGGGTTATTGCGGTAATGCAGTTGAGACAATTGGGGTTAGCGCTCGTTGCATGTAATGGATAAAAAATTTCAATTGCGTTTGAACAGTGCACGTCCAGTGCATGCGATAGTTGCACAATTTTCATCAAAAACGTGACTTATTAAGGCTGGGATTTTGTAGTCCTTTTGGGGATGTTTGTGCTTCTCCACAAGTAGCGTAATGCTATTACACGTAATTACGACATCCAATAACCCGACACGAAGAGAAATTCTATTGTGGTCGGCACTAATAAACATTTCTATAATCGATATTCAAACCGCAATTGACTTTCGTTTGGCCAAAGCGGGAACCGTGCCGAATTTCTGTTTGTTTTTTCCGAGTCGATCAGAAATTCTAGTCGAGCTTCACGATGGCTCATAAATTTTCACTTTTCTATCAGCGTCTATTATGCACTAAAATCTAATAACGTTTCCAGTGGAAGAACTCCAGTGCCTGGCGGTATGGAAAGAAGGTAGTTCAAGGTATTTAGTAGGCAAAGTGCACCACAACCATGCGACGTCCAACGAGGACCGTTTCAGATGCTTTGTGTATGAAAAGGCATCACCGGCGTCGGAAGCTTTGGATGGTGTCGATTATAGAGTCGCACAAAGCGGAGACGCGACCTGTAATGGACTCTTCAGTGCCACCGAGGGAAGCAGGACTATGATTCTTAAAAGAGGTGAGTCCCTGAATACGAATTGTGCAGGCGTCTCGTCTCTTTAAAATGGCAGTAGCTAGCAACAGTGACAATTTTTAACTTGCAGTAGTTCTTCACGCGTTTATTATTTTTTCAGGCAGTCGTGTGGAGAAACTTATTAAAATACGCCACTTCACCATTACTTGATTAAATTTTGCATTCCGAAATATCCCTCCCTTTACGGGAGAAATTCACAAAATCCGGAATTTGTCTCAGTTGTACTCGGGCTAATTTCTCTCCGGCGTAACATCAGTGATTTGAATTTTTCCAGCTCCCTCGTTGAATAAGTGTCGTTTCCCTTCCTGGGTGGTAAATTATATCCACTGGCACACTTTGGATTACTCGGCAACTTACAATTTTCATCATAGGAACTCCACCCTCAGGATAACCAATTCATCCGGACTAGAAATGAAAGTCGTCTGTGCCCAGCTGAAACCTTCGTCGAGGGATGAAAACTCTGTAGTGCTTCTGACACATTTCACAATGGGATGGTACGTTGGTGTTCGTTGTTTGGGAAATATGACGTAATTGATTTATTGCAGCCAAAGCGGATTCACTTGTATGTCCTTCTATAAGCGCGACAAGCATGTCATGGAAGTCCAGATAGGCGCACACACCAAACGACAAGAGGAAGCCTGCAATCCTGCTTACTTCAACAGGACCAATTTGCCATACGTCACGCTAGTCAGTAAGTACCGCAACGTCAATCACACTACAACGATCCTAATTGCGACGAACACAAATCCGGTCGATAACGCGACTCGTTGCTTTATTTGATTATGCAGTTAATGCAAATTTGCCGCATAATCACACGCCAAATTGCAAACCGAAATTAAACCAGACAACTATTCACCGAAATAAAACGTATTGTTCCGCTCACAATGAAGAATATCGCGGTAGGAAATGTGCATCTCTGATGCGACCTCCATCAACTCTTCCAAATAACTTCCGCCTTTTTAAGCTCGTTTGATCTATTTCCGCCACCCCAACCAGATGCTATTAGCTCCACGGGCGGCAATATTGCCGTTAATTGTTAACATGTGTCACACCAACTGTCATTAATAATTTCTAACGACTCTATCTTGGTGGTCCGCCGCCATTAGCCAAGTGAAGGAAACGTTTAAAATAAGCGCGTGCCAAAGAAACATATACAGCTACCACAACTTTGTTTTCAGTATTCGCCGACACTCGTGACTTATTGGCACAACTTTTAATTTTCATTCATAAAAAGAAACGCCACTTGCTCTATAACCATTAAACACTTCAACGTAAATTAAAATATTAAGGACAGCAAGGGCTATTTTGCAGCTCACATTTTCTAATTAATTCTTTTTACTTTTTTGAAAAACTTCAGATCACAACTTCTCTAAATTGATTAGCCCTAAATTAGAAGCGTTATACTGTATTATTCGATGACAAATTGTGTACTTAAACAAAACAAAGACAAGATTTTATTAAGTTGTTCAATATTAATGACCATTTTTAATTTTTTTAAATAAAACTTAATCAGTTATCCACAACTTCAATACATTTTTACCAATGCCCATTTAGATCTTTATAATGCAGATTTCTAGAAGCGCAGAATAGAATGAAAAAGTTCTCTCGTAAAATATTTTGAGGAAGAAAATAGATCTATTATTCGCAGTAATTGGAAATTTACCTGCAAAATGAGGTAATAAATTATTATAAATGAATTGATACGGAACAATCATAACTTCATATTAATTTGTCCAAAATATACCTATTCAAGTTTTATATACAACTACCTAATATAGTTTTGTTAAAAACTTATTAAAAATAGCCTGCCCAAAAATTAATAAAATTTATAAGTTAATTTTCATCGAAATTTTGATGTTGCATTCAAGGCACGGTGGTTCACGAAAATGTCTAGGAATAAAAAATGGCCTCACCAATAAATGAAAAAATTATAAAATCCTAAAACTTTTACTTATTTATGTAATTAAGTATATACATAACACATCACTCGGTGATATTATGAGTATAACTATCATGAGTATGACCACCACAGATACCGGTTTTAAATCAGAGCTAGTAGAGCTAGAACAACATCTAAGGTTGTTATGATTCATAACATCCGTGGTTTGTTCCATAGTTTATCGGTTTCTCTTCATTTTGAACCGATTGTCTAAAATAATTACATCCAAAAATTCGCTTTAAAAAAATGAATTCATCGCGTTTGCATAATACGTTCAAGTTTCAAAGTAACATTGTGTAGTTTATAAATGAGTTGACGTTAACGTTTTACTAGAAAATGTCTCAAAAGCAAATTATGTCTTAAATACTTTAGTACCGGCAAAATCAAAAAGCAGTTATCAGAAACCACACGACAAATTTGTACCCTGTTGGTACAAGAAAAAATTTGTAGATCGGTAAGTTAAATTGACTTATCGCTTGTGTTATATTTTATAATAACACAGTTTTAAGCAATAATCTTATGCCATAGTTGCCAGCCTATTTTGTGTAGGTGTGTAACATAGGTTTTAATAGACAGAAATTGATTAAATTTTTTACACCTTTCCTTTTGCTATAGAAAGGTGTATTAAGTTAATCTAAGATAGCCCAATCGCTTATTACTGTCATCGCTTCAACACCAGCCAAGTTTTTGATTTAATTTTTTTGAAAAAATATACACAGCCAGCACTGAATATGATCTTAATATGTATGCCGGATGTAAAAAAATACGGTGACTGCAGCAAATTTATAGACACAGAATGCTTAAAACAAAAATTAAGAGAAAGTTGGTCTGAAAGTAAAAGAGCACGAGCTAGAACAGCTACAAATCCAGAAAATGAAATAAGAGTAAGGGAAGCAATAACTGAGAACCCTGATGTAAGTCAAACTTTTATGACTAGGCAAATTGGGATTAGCCAGTCTTCAATTTCCCGAATTTTGAAAGCTAACAAGTTTCATCCGCATCACATAACTCAAAGAAACTGATTTTCTAAAAACAGTAATGTTTTGTGAGTTTATGAGAAGGCAACAAGAGCTAAATCTTATTTTTTTTAATGAAATTCTATTTAGCGATGAATCTCGTTTTATTAATAACAGACACAACCGCTACTATTATGCTCAGGAAAACTCGCATTGATTAGAATTACTCATCTCCAGAGATTTTTTTTCTCTGAACTGGAATAATTGCGGTGTCTGTAGTCTTGGGCCCCATTTTTTTTATTGGAAGTTTAACTAATGAAATGTATCGTAATTTTCTTGAAAATAAATTGGCAGTTATTTTAGAAGATTTACCCATTACTCTTTGTCAAAAGTTTTGGTTTCAACAAGATGGTTCTTTTCCACATTTCCACAGAAGAGTTTGTAACTACATACCTAAACGAAAATTATGAAAATGTGTGGATTGGTAGAGGCAGTTGGCCTCCTCGAAGCCCCGATCTTACACCATTAGATTATTAGTCTATGAAACTCCAGTTTTAAGTAAAAACGATTTGAGAAACCAGATTATTAGTTATTGTAGGAGTGTAACTCCTAACATGTTAGCTTGGGTAAGAATATCTCTTCAAAGAAGAATTGAGGCGTGTTTAGATAATGGTCTACATTTCGAACATTTAATTTTTAGTGTTACGTGTATGGTTTTTTTTCAAATTTATAATGAAAAATAGCAATTTCAAAATGAATTATAAATTTTGTATAGCTTTTTTGAATTTGTGACTTTTTTTAATAATCTAAAAATAATTCACGTAGTTACTGAAATACGCAATAATGGTTGCATCCACCTTTCGTAAGGATCGACATTTTATGTGAATAGCCCTAAATGTATATTAAAAAGTGTTCATTTCTGCGTCAGAAATTTTCACAAAATTCATAATTCTTTACATGTTTTGTGAGCGCCAATATGAACAATAAAATGTATTATACAGGGTGCGCCAGAACTTGCGCCCCAGAGAAAATTTTCAAGTAAGGTAAGATACCAGCAACATGAAAAAAATGTTTAAAAAATTCTATCTGTCAAAAAATTTTGACATTTATTTTTTGACAATTGACATGTTTTTATGTCTATTTAATGATACTGATGATCTTGTATAAGTTTTTTTCCAATTATTTAGTAAAGGTACAAAAATTTTACCAATAAAAGCCACAAATAACATTGAACAGAGTTACAATTTAGGATACAGCTTCCGTGTTTCGTCTTTTAATAGCCTATAGCAAAAAAACTTGGAAAATTATTTTTCCAACAGAAATAAATAGAGTCAAAGTGCAAACTATAAACTCTCATAACTTCGAAATTTTTATAGATAATAGTTATTTATGGTATAAGTGGGTTATGCTAGATATTACCTACGAGAGGTATGTGTAACCTACGAGGGCTTGCCCGAGTAGGTTATTACCTCGCGTAGGTAATATCTAATAACCCACGTATGCCATACAACGTTTTATCCAATATTCCCGTATTTTTATCTATTAAATCTATTAAAAATAATCTGACGTTTCATATTGAGAAGTGCCAAACAGTTGTCAAAACTTCCTTATGCGGGAAAAAAAACGAAAATTTTGACAGTGTCGAAGAATAAACAAATTTTCCACTGATTTGCCAGGTTAGCTTTGCTTTTTAACTTAAAATTTCATCAAATTTTAACCAAAACATTTGTACAAGTGATCATGAACATGCAACTTCTGGTTTGCAAGTCGTTGAGTCCAGAGAGATTCCTGAAATTTATTTTCACGGTGCACTTTCAAATGTTCATTTCTATTTTAGAAAGAAATCTGAAACATAATTTCAAATTTGATGTACCTATTCTTAAATAAAGTGTTCAGAATATCTATTAAAATTTTATTTCATCCTGCAGTGGGTTATGGATGGCAATAACCCACGGTGCTAATGGCAACGTGGGTTATATCAAACAGTCTAGTTATTGCTCAGTTTACTTAACAAAAACTAACAAGTAAAACACTATATTAGTATTGAATATTGGATAAAAAAAAATTACATTTTTTCCATGTTTCTGGTATCTTACCTTATATGGCATTTTTCTCTGGAGCGCGAGATCAGGCGCACCTGTATAATTTGTAACATAAAAGTTACTTGGACCTCAATGTTTAAATTTTATAAAAATCTTTAAGGAATTTAACTTGTATCAAAACATTGTATGCCACTCATTCAATTGCTTGTAATGTAAATAGCAATTTTATTTAAGGGCGCTTTTGGATAACAACTTTTTGCGGAATATCTGACAAAAAATTAAGTAAATTTTTTTGTGAGTTAGCTTTAATAGAAATTATATTTCTTTATCTTTATTTTTTTTTCTAGTATTGAGATATAACGTGTTGTCTTTATTTTAATTAACAAAATATTTATCGGCCTGAAATTATTATTCAAATAAAGGTTTAGCAAACAAGAGTTATTTAGCAGACGTTTATACAAAAAAAAAAACCGCTGCGACATACAGGCTGTTCCGTCTAAACCCCACATTAGAAGTATTGGGAGTTGGAATAATCGTATTTGTTTGAAAATTGGTACATAGCCATAAACCATTAAGTCCTCCTAAATGAAAATATTTTCAAGATGGCGGCACATCCGCTTATACCGGAAGCCGGTCTCATCTTTCTTATTTTAAATGGAAAGGTATAATTTTTTACTACGTTTTTTGATTAATCGGGTTATTTTAAGGGGGTTTTTATCAGCTTTCCCTATACCTAAATTTAGCCGTTTTTGAAATATGTGGAGTTTTTCAAAAAATTTTGGATTTCCACCTTCCACTTTAAAAATCGGTAACTCTGCCATTTTTTAAGATTTTGAATTTGTTTTTTTGGGGTTTGAAAGAGAAAGCTTAGGTCCTTTTTCTGGTGTTTCAAATTTTCAAAAAAACATTAACAAACTCCAAAATTTTAAGGTTACTTTTGTAATAATTCAAATACTCATAACTCAATTTTTTCAAATGAAATACCCCAATTTTTATTTTACTAAATAGAAGAGAGAATTTAAAATTGCATTGATCTGTATTAACATTCTCTATACCTAAATTTAATAATTTTCAAGTTATGGACTTTTTGTTAAAACTACAGAAAATTGATTACTAGCCACACCCATTTTGACATAGTTTACTATGGAAATCAAAAATGTCAAAATTTTCTCTAAACAAACATCAACAGTAAATTACTACCAGGTGAATAAAAAGTAGGAACCAAGCATTTTTTTCGTAAACTAAGCACTTAACAAAAAAAAAATAATTAGTGTAGTGTAAAGTCCAATTAAAATGTGACCATTTATCAAGAATAACATTTTTCGAAATTTCTTTTAGTTTTCGAGTTCTGGAAAAATTTTTTTTTTAATGGCAACCCACTATGGTAATTTTTTTAATTAAAGATATTGTTCTAAAAATGAGCTCTAATTAAACAGAATTGTTTTCTAGTCAGTACTTTTTTTAATAAATTGTTAAAGTTGTGTTCCGAGCCCATCACGAAGATTTTCCGAACTTGAACGAAGGAGTCGTTTCATGACTTTGGTCGTTGGAGAGTCCGGTTTTTAGTGCAGGTGCTTTGGTGGTTCCGGATGGATCAAAAAATGTAAAAACAAATCATTTTCTTCTATTTTTAGTCGATTCGATTCAAAACTTGAAAACACCAGAAGAAAGATCAAAACTTTCTTTTTCAAACGCCAAAAAAAAACGAATTCAAAATTTTTAAAAATAGCAGAGTTACCGATTTTTAAAGTGAAAGGTGCAGATCCAAAAATTTTTGAAAAACTCCAAATATTTCGAAAACGGCTAAATTTGGGTATAGGGAAAGCTGATGAAAACTCCCTTAAAATAACCCGATTAATTCAAAAACGCAGCAAAAAATATACCTTTCCATTTAAAATAAGAAAGTTGAGACCGACTTCCGGTATAACCGGAAGTGCCACCATCTTAAAAATATTTTCATTTATGAGAACTGAATGGATTATGGCTATGTACCAATTTTCAAACAAATATGATTTTATTCTAACTCTTAATACTTTTAATGTGGGATTTAGACGGAACACCCTGTATAATCCGATATTTTTACAAAAAGTACTAATTTTAGCGACCAGTCCCGAGACGCGGGCGTGTCCCTACAGTGGCAAATTCGAAGTCAGCAACTTGATCAGAAGCGAGAATTCCCATCAACCGGACTCTCGTTATTACGACAACAACTATTACGTTAACAAGTTCCCCAGGTCGGTCCGCGGAGACTCCGACCACATGAAGAGAATCAAGAGACTGGACCAAAATCTGGACTGTGACAGCAACGGCTTCACCAGTCTCGTTATCGGTTGCAATTCCATCGATACGATGGAATTTCGAGCACAGTGCTCTTCACCCGACATCATCACCTGTAAGTAACCGCCCTCTTAACTTTCCGAATATTATTTTCGAGTGCTCGTTTTCCGAGCGGTTATCATTTCGTCCACTTCTGTTATGAACAGCATCGAACTTAGTATTCACCCTTGCCCCAAATTCAATATCTGGCCTGTCTTGCTCGGTTGTCAAATTCGTAATTGAATGTTGCAGCTTACTCGTGTCACGGAGGATGGAAGGAGAACGGCACCAACTACTTGATAACAACCCCGTTGAGTCGGGCGTCTCACGGTTCTCGGCGATACTGCTTCATCTACAAGGAGTCCACTCCTGATTTGGTGCTATTTTCAACATCTGCCGATAACTGTGATCGCATCGTCAGGCCGGGAATCACCGGAGAGCTGGTTTTTAACGTCACGAGTACCGGTGAGTACATCGTTAAAATTATCTCGATCCAATAGTCACACCGAATCGAATTTTTCAGGCAAGTGCGTCGAAACCAGCAAATCTGAACGAACAAAAGCACTCCTACTACTCACCTTCTTCTCTTATATTCTAAAATTTGCTATCACAGCGCTTATTCAGAGATGATCTACATATTCGTAAGTTAGGAAATTTTTCAATGATGAGACTGTAATAATTAGGTCCTTGCCGGTCCGATTTTTGTTGTGAAACGGAATATCTTGGTTGTGTTTTGTTGTTAAATATGTAATAATAAGTAGAAGTGATTAAAGTTCAAATGTACAGCACCGCCCATCCATACTCGAAAACTTTTCTTCTATTATTTTCTTTGACACTCAACTTTCAGTCGGATGGGTTCAGTGCCGCTTTATTAAAATTTCTAGATCTTTACACACTTCTCCCTTAGAAATGAGTCTCAAGATACGATTGTATATTGTAATGTAATAAATATATACTTTAATCTGTGATTACTGCAAGTAGAACCGATAGAAGAAGTAACCCTCACTTTTAATCACTTTGAATCGAATCGTATAATTAGTGTTTTTAAAAGGTGTTCCTCTCCGACCTATTTTTAACTTTGCTTCAATAGTTTTAGAATTCTTTTCAAACCCAGACGAAACAAACACAATTCGTGGTAATTTTCATTCTGTCGAGAAGAAATCGGTTCTCGTGATAGCACACCTTAAAAAGGACTCAACATATCATTAAAGCGTGTTGAAAATAAACGAATGTGTTTGTTTCCGCCCCGACACCCGGACAATTATAGAACAAAATAGCTGAAAACTGTGATTGATTTTATTCAAGGAGTTTTTAAATGAATGATAATAGCATTTTTATTCGTAAAAAATGCTTGCAATAAAATACGTATTTTTGCACTTAACACTTGCTTGTTTAAAATATATGGATGGTGATATTTTTGGTAACCGGAAGCAATATTTATATTTATTTTTGTTAAATTGTAATCATGTTTGTAATTGCAATTACTTTTAGATTATTACGTTTTTATTTTTCCATGAGCAATAATATAAGATAGTTTAGTAGAAATTTGTATACCTACATATTATACATCGTTATAATTTATCATTTTATAATTACAATTATTGACAAAATGGTTGTCAGAAAAATTGGTGGGACAATTTGATGCAACTTTACATCACTCGCGTATTTTAAGTCATCTATAGAACAATAAAATTTTCCACGAAACGATATCTTGTTGAACCAATTTAAATTTGGTTTAAGTTTAATGCACGTATAATAATATCATTTAATTCATGTTTATCTTGCTTCTCTGAAATTTTAATTTACTGTAAAATTCTCGGTAAAATGTTTCTTGCAGACTCGCATAAAATGTCCCATCAATATCGATATACGTCTTAACGAAACATAATTTGTGTTATGCTTTTCGATATCGATAAGGCATATAGTAAATTATTTTCGTAATGATTTAATGCCGAAATGATTAATATTTCATACAAAGTTGTGCGATTTGCAATCATTGTAAGATATGTATGTATAATTTATTAACGAATGAATTTAGTGGATTAGACTAGTTGAATATGTAAAATAAATAGATTAAATTGGAACAAACTCTAAGTTAGTACTTGTAGCAAGTAGACTGTTTTACAAAGGCAGAATATGTACAGTACGTGATGACTCGTTTGTACAGACAATCAAGGAATGCAATTCATATTATAAACCGGGGCTTACGCAAAACTTATCTCAATTGCATCTAATCTGAAACAATCGGTATTTTATTAACATCCGCCTAAAACGTGCAAGTCATACATGAACACATTTTTAAACCAATCTCAAATATAATAATTATACAAACGAGCCATTTTGTGCTATAGAAGAATGGTGCCTTGGATGTTTTGTTTGATAAAAAAAAAAACAAAATGTTGAATATATGAACAAATACAATTGTTGTAATAATATCTGTACATTATCTGAATAAAACATGGAAGAGATGAGAGATTGTTTGTTTGAACTTGGGGACACAACTGTATATCCAAAATAAGTATCGCACTGCGACTTTCACAATCGTAGAACAAAAAGTGTGTCAAGTTGTTCGATCAATAACATCAACTTTGGCTCCCAACTCGTCTACTGCCCCAAACTTTTTTTTCTCATTATTGCCCTTGTTTCTACTGAAATTAATTGAAAGACCAATAAATCATCAATAATAATGTGATCCCAACACAACTTGTTTCCACTGTCGTACATTCCCCGAAATTTAATGCGGCCCAGTATTCGTCATAAAATGCGGTTTTAGATGGTGGGAGAGCTCAGTTGATTATTGTACTAGCATAATAAGTACAGTAGATAGTAGCGCTTTGTGTCTTACAATTCAAACTACAAAGCTTAATAGTTTGTAAACATAACCTAAGTACTTAGTCACGGTGGTGGTGTGTGTTCTAAAGCCAAACAAATTGTAGGAATGATGCATTGATTTGAAAAAAAAACACTTGATACGAGGTTCGTAATCGATCATTTATAATCAACCTTGATGATACGGTATATGCATGTTTATGCTTACTTTACTTTGATCCAATTATAGAATTATATCGGTCGCAGAGCGCAACATAATTAAAATCGAAATATTATGGGTATTGTTCCATTTCCTGAGGCATAGTTGCAAAATCTTAACATGTCCCTCACGTTCGGCTGTTGACCTTAAAAAATCTGTTCCTCGTTTATCTATATTTCAATTTTTTTTGCTTATCGCCCCAAATTTTATGTGATGCAAATTGTTCTTAATAGATAGTATTAATAGCATCATCAAATTTAATCTACTCCCAAGTAATAGCTTTAGGTCTATCCATATCAGTGTAAAAGTGCGCAATCATTAAGGACCAAAGTTAATTGTAGGATAGCCGCCACCAGTTGGGCGACAAATTTCTAACAATCTACAAGTAAAAAATGCAACGTATTTTTACCAAACGGAAATTGCTACTTATCACAACATTATTCATAAACGGTGAGTCTTGTGCCGACTAATTGTTAATTTTTAAACGATTTACAAAACTATAGTTATCTTCATTATCCAAAAATGTAAGATTAGAAAAGCAACGGCTAGAGGTAAAAGGTTTAACTAATTCACACTTAACGACTTTTTGCACGCTTATTATATGTGCAAACAGAAACCGGTTGCTTATTGCTTGATGGAAATTGTAGCCCACATTTTGGCGAAAAAAAATTGCTTTCACTTGGGAAATCCTAACCGAGCTTTTCCAATCTAATCAGGGGGTGACTTTCTTTTACAATTTAATTATTTTCAGTTGTACAATATGCCCAGTGTGATATTAGTGTATCGACAAATGACTTAACTATACAATTAGAACATACAGCTTCATTTAATTTAATAATAAGGTATAATATATATTATTCTATTAAAATTAACATTAAATTAAATCTACTTTTCCAGAAACGTCACCAAATATGTTCCTTTCTCCATTAAATTTGATATTCAGCATAAAGACTTAATACGTGTAGAACCAGAATTATATAATGTTACAAAAGATGAAGATGTAAATATAGTCGTTCACGCAATTGGAGCCGGACACTCCGAGGTCGTAGCCAATGTAACGAACTCAAGCATAATGTACTGTTTAAACAACTTTATCCTATTTTTTATTTAATAATTTTTTTAGCCTGAAAAATGCATTTGTTCGAATTACAGTTCAAAAACTTCCGGAACTTGACACATTTTCTTTAGTTATTGGATGGATCTACTTCGTGGCATGGTCTGTTTCTTTCTATCCACAGATTTATAGCAATTTTAAGAGGAAGAGGTAAGAAAATCTTACTTTTTTAATGGCATATTTTAATTTAAAACTTGATTTCAATTTTTATAGTGTGGTTGGGCTAAATTTCGACTTTCTTGCTCTGAACATCATCGGTTTTACATTGTATGCAATATTTAATCTGGGTTTATACTTCATACCTGAAATCAAGGTATTATGACCATAATTTCAAATTAACTCATCGTTCGAAAGACTCATTCGCGTTTCAGGCGGAATACTCAAGCAGATATCCTAGAGGATTAAATCCCGTTCAAGTCAACGACATCGTATTTGCTGTTCATGCAGCTGCCGCAACAATAATTACGATAGTTCAATGTTATTTATATGAAAGCAGCGACCAAAGAGTGTCGCATGTCGCCAGAATAATAATAGGAGTTTTTGGTCTATTTCTTTTCATTAGTATTATTTTGGCGGCCAGTGATGTGATTCACTGGATAGATTTCCTGTATTACTGTTCCTATGTTAAGCTCACTATAACACTCATCAAATATGTTCCGCAGGTTTGATTTCTTTAATTGAAATTAACAAACATTTAATAAAAATTACTGTTTCAGGCATACATGAATTATAAAAGAAAAAGTACTGTTGGGTGGAGCATAGGAAACATCTTCCTTGATTTTACAGGAGGCATTTTGAGTATGCTTCAAATGATAATAATCTCATACAATTATGGTACGTATTACGTCATTGGGTCATTATCATTGTCTGGCTTTTGTAATCGCGATAATAACTTAATTCGCTAGATTTCAATGCGGAATTCTAAAAACGTGATTTTTTTTTTCAGATGACTGGGTTTCTATATTTGGCGACCCAACCAAATTTGGGTTAGGTCTTTTCTCTGTAGTTTTCGATATCTTTTTCATTGTTCAACACTATGTTTTATACCGTCATACAAATTACGAAGAGCAATAAAAGTCTTAAAGTCTCTTAAACAATAAGAAATATATTTTGTTAAAGTTTATAGTGATTTTAAAGTACTGTGTTATATAATATAATTAAAAGTCTTTTATTACACTCCTCTTTTTCTGCAAGTTTTAAATAAATTTGAAATAATTTATTCGCAATAAACGTCGCTTAAACAATAAGAAATATATTTTGTTAAAGTTGTGTTACATAATTAAAAGTTTTTATTACTGTACAGTGCCGGACAATAAATTTGGTTCACCATTGTTCTGTCACTTAAAAAAAATAGATGTAAACCATAACATTATTGTCAATATGTCAAATAATTGATGTGCAGATTTTTCTTTTATTATCATAATACTGTCACCACTATCAGGAATCAATAGGCTTTCAGATTCATACATTAATAAACTTCGAATAAATTTTCTTTCATGTCACGTAGACAAATTTCTGCAGCTTTAACAATCCATGATAATCTACGTCAAAATATGACAACCATTCGCATATAGCCTGCTTTAGAGGCGAATGTCATTTGGACATTTGAGGTGGACTAAATTTATTGTTCAGCACTGTACATACCTCTCTTTCAACAAATTTTAAATAAATTCGAAATTCCCGCATAAATTCTAAGGCCGATAAAACAGTTTTTGCTATGAACGACAAATGTCAAAATTGTGTGATGACATTTGGTTATCAATGTAAATTTACAAGTTTCAATATAACAAAAACAGTCATCGAATAACCAAAGTACAGACAGTTAATATTTAAGTTAACAAACATGTCAGAAGAAGTAGCAAGTAGAATTAAAACTAACGAAGAGGTTATTGAAGACCTAACCAAAGATTTGCAAAATGCCCAGTTCTCCGTTGATGATTCGAAAAAATCAGAGCCTGAATCACACATTCCAGAGGATTTTGATGCTTCTGATACCGATTCAAATAAAGCTGAAGCACCTCAACACCTTTCAGATGATTCTGACGATGAAGAATTGAAAAATCAGGAATTGGATTTAACTGATGAAGAAAAGGAAGCCAGGAAAGAACAAGCAATTTTGTTGAAAAACAAAGGCAACGACGAATTTAAAAACTGTAAATATTTAGAATCTGTTGGAACCTACACTGAAGCTTTGCGCTTATGCCCTTTAAAATACAATAGTGATAGAGCCATCCTTTATGCAAATAGAGCAGCTTCTAAAATAAATATAGAGAGGAAAGCTAGTGCTATCGATGACTGTACAAAAGCCATATCATTAAATGATAAGTATGTTAGAGCCTACTTAAGGAGAGCAAAGTTGTATGAAGAAACTGACAAATTTGATGAAAGTTTAGAAGATTTTAAGAAAATTCTAGAGTTAGACCCAGGTAATAAAGAGGCGTTAAGTGCCATTCACAGATTACCTCCACTAATAGAAGAAAGAAATGAAAAACTGAAAACGGAAATGCTAGGTATGTTAATGAAGTTTGAATGAAGTTTTGTAATTTATTTGTTGCAGGAAAATTGAAAGATTTAGGAAACATGATCTTAAGACCATTTGGATTGTCCACAAATAATTTCAATTTGCAGCAAGATCCAAACACGGGAGGATATTCAGTAAATTTTCAACAAAATGGATCAAACTAATATCTACATTTTGTATTTTTGTAATAGTTCCAAACTTGTGATATTAAACTACTTTTTCAAGAATTATAGTAGGTACCAGAACATTAGAAACTTACTATTTCAGTCTTTATTGATTAATTTCCGTAACAAAAAAATGTAATACTTGCAAGTTAAAAATAAAACATTTCGAAATAGTTAATATTCCCTTTAATTTACAAATAGCAAGATACATAAAATCAGCCTTTTTACTAAAACTAAAGTAAAGAAAGAGTTTATCTGAAAATTAGTCCAGGTTGTCATCATCAGGTTGGAACCGAGGTGGGGCTGCGCCTCCCCCTGACATCCCTCCAAATCCTGGAAAACCACCAGGAAACCCTGGAAAACTGCCTGGTCCAATTCCAGAGCCTGCCAATTTTCCAGACAACTTCGTGATCAATGCCATGACTTTAGGGTTAGATTGATATTTATAAAAGTTAGCAGGATTTGATGAAATATCAGCAAATGCTGCCGAGACTTCAGGATCGGTGAAAGCTGCTCTAAGTTCAGGATCTTGCAGGAGTTTATAAAAATCGTCTGCAGGAGGTGCAGAATTTGCATTTGCATTCGTTTCAGTTCGAGAAGCATTGGCTTTGGCGTGAGCTTCGCGAGCTTTACGTGCCCTTTCTATTTTCTCCCGTTCTTCCTTCTCAAGTCTTTTCCGTTCCTGTTTTAACTTGTGTTGTTCTATCTTCTTGGCGTTTGGTGTCACTGCTTTTAGCCACTCATCAGACTGCTCATCAAAATCAATATTACAAGCCTGACGCAGATCTTTGGCTGCTTTTTCCCATTCTCCTATAAGGCTGTAAGCGCGACCGCGGAATTTGTACGCTGTTGCTGAATCAGGGTTCAACTCCAAGGCTTTAGTGCAATCTTTTATGCAAGCATTCGGTTTGGTTTGTTTCAAATACGCTTGTCCTCTCTTGGCAAACAGTAATGCTGAGGATGGATTCAGTTCGATTGCTTCAGTGTATAATTCGATGGCTTTGTCGTAATTTCCTTCTGAGAATTGCTTAATGGCTTCCACACGTTTCTCGTCAGACTTATCACTATCTTCTTCACTCACTTCTTTATTTGGATCGCCCATCTTTTGATTTTCATCCAATGGATCAGGATCCACACAGCCTTCAGTATCAAGTTCTAAATCTGACTCTGGTTCGGATTCAACATCAGAACCGACTTGTTCTGTTTGAGCATTGGGGGCTTCTGACGACATTTTGGAAGGTGTAGGTACTTTACCACCGAAAGACTCGATAAACTCTTTAAAGAAGTTTAAATCCGGCAACGACAGAATGTCAGGATTGGCCTTACAAACGTCAACGAATTGTTTCAATTTGTCTAAGGCCTCTTTTCCAAAAGGGCAACTCATTTTTGATTGGTTTGTACGAGAAAACACACACTTCGATATCCAAATAGGCACTCACGGAAAAATTCTAGAAATGCGGCTGGCGGCGTGACTGTCAAAATTGTAAATAAAAAAGGGGTCGTTAATAAAGGCACCTATAATTTAAAATAAATTATGAGTTAAGAAAAAATTAAAATACCTTACTGGGCACGCTTAGAAAATCACATTTAAAGTAACAAAATGTAAGCTGAACTAAAATTTTACTTTAAAATATTTTTAATTAATTTTTCATTTTGCAACACGCGTGACCTCCTGTGGAGAAACATGACAATCAACTTGACAAACAGGCAACCTTGAACATAACCTCAAAATATACGTTCTGTTTATGTGTGAATTTCTAGAAGATGGGTGATAATGTTCCCCCAGTAAAAGTAAAATCCATTACGTTTTTATGATTCATTTACAATAACTATAAACTATTTTAGAGATACAGACGTGACGAGAAGGAGGAAGAAAAATCAGACTCTGACGATAATTACGTACCATACATCCCAGTTAAAGAACGCAAGAAGCAAAAACTTTTGAAACTTGGACGATTGGGACAGGTACAATAGTTGAATCAAACTTTGGGTTGAAAATACTTAGTGGGAGTGCGACAATAGCATAAAAGTACATGCATTATTTTTTCATATTGTCATACCTTTTTATAAAAAGTGTATACCTATAAGGACAATACACTGTGCACAGGCCTGTTCTAATTATTCATTTAGAAAATGAAAACACAAATTTTATGCTAATTATCACACTCAACCCCCGGGTCGTGTAGTTCTTCCAGCGATTAATGTGTTGCTGGAAACCTGTATTTGTATAAAAAAATAGTATTTAATTTTTATTATGCAAATAGTCTTAATAAAAAACAATTCAATTACTTAAGTACTTAATGTATTTATTATTACACTTTTTTAATGAAATTGTTGTATTAAGATATCAAAATAACTGATTGTGAAAAGTTGTCTTAAGCTATTAATCCTAATACACTCGTGATTACACGAAAAGATTCTATCATAATTTACTTCTAATTGACACAATTTGATAGCACAACTAAGTTTCTAAAAATATTTCGTTTATCATTTTAGTTAAGGATATATTTGTTATTGGGCAAAATTATTGGAAAACCACAAACATAAGTCTGCATCAGTTTTATTTTATTGATTAATGTAAATGACTATAAAATAAAAAATAAATTTTTAACATCCACAGTTAAAGGAATCTGAATTAAACAAACCAAAGTCATCTAGCGAGAACGAAACAAACGATGACGAGGAAGAGGATGAAGTATGGGGGCGCAAGAACAACATATCCCTCTTGGATCAACACACGGAACTTAAAAAACTGGCAGAAGGTATGTCCACTTTCGTTAAACAAGCTTTTATGTAAATGTTGATCAAATTTCAGCCAAAAAGGTGAGCGCTGTGGAACGACAATTAAAAAAAGAAGAGGAGATTCTGGAAATAGTAGCGGAAAAGAAAGCCTTAATGGGCGTTTCTGAATTAGCTAAAGGCATACAATACAGTGACCCGATTAAAACTAGCTGGCGACCACCTAGTTACGTGCTTGCAATGCCGGAGAGCCGCCATGAGAAAATCCGAAACGAACTCCGGATTCTAGTTGAAGGAGAAGACATACCTCCGCCTCTTAAATCTTTTCGTGATATGAAACTGCATGAAGGCATTATATCCGGACTGAAAGAAAAGAAAATTAAAAAGCCAACACCTATTCAGATTCAAGGCATCCCAACAGTGTAAGTATTTCACTGCTAAATGTTGCAGATTTGTATTTTTGTGCAGATTATCAGGTCGGGATATGATTGGGATAGCATTCACGGGTTCAGGGAAAACACTAGTCTTCGTTTTGCCCCTCATCATGTTTTGCTTAGAACAGGAAGTCAAATTACCCTTCATTAAAAATGAAGGTCCATATGGGCTTATAATTTGCCCGTCGCGGGAGTTAGCAAAGCAAACTTTCGATATCATACAACATTTTTGCACCAGTTTGAGAAAACATGGAATGCCCGAAATTAGAACGTCTTTGGCCATAGGTGGAGTGCCTGTTTCAGAAGCCGTTGATGTTATACAAAGGTACAAATATTATATTTTAGTAAACGATAATCATTTCATTTTTTACTAGAGGTGTGCATATTATGGTAGCCACTCCAGGACGATTAATGGATATGCTTGAGAAGAAAATCGTAAAGTTATCAGTTTGTCGATATTTGTGTATGGATGAAGCCGATCGTATGATTGACTTGGGTTTTGAAGAAGACGTCAGAACTATTTTTTCATATTTTAATGTAAGTTGTGACAAATCTTAGAGAAAAATATTATTTGCAATATTTTTAGGGCCAAAGACAGACTTTACTTTTCTCAGCTACTATGCCCAAAAAAATACAAAATTTTGCACGTTCAGCCTTAGTCAAACCTGTAACTATCAACGTGGGGAGGGCAGGAGCAGCCTCAATGAACGTCATACAAGTATTTTTGGAAATTGTAACGTGAAATTTTAAAATTATTTGTTTATTTTTTGTAGGAGGTGGAATATGTTAAACAAGAAGCAAAAGTTGTGTACTTATTGGAATGTTTACAAAAAACACCACCACCCGTTTTGATTTTCGCGGAGAAAAAACAGGATGTGGATGCTATTCATGAATATCTACTTCTGAAAGGGGTGGAAGCTGTCGCTATTCATGGTGGAAAAGGCAAAATTTACAACATTGTTAGTTACAGAATATTAATTGTATTGTATTAAAGACCAAGAAGAACGTTCGAGATCTGTTGAAGCATTCCGTAAGCACGAAAAAGATGTCCTTGTAGCTACAGATGTGGCATCAAAAGGGTTAGATTTTCCGGATATCCAACATGTTATAAATTACGACATGCCCGACGATGTGGAAAATTATGGTATAAAACCCATAATAATATAATCAAAGACAAAATTTTGCACAAATATTTTTTTATAGTTCACCGAATTGGAAGAACAGGTAGATCCGGCAAACAAGGGCTGGCGACTACATTTATAAACAAATCCAACGACGAGTCTGTCCTCCTGGATTTAAAACATCTACTTATGGAAGCCAATCAAAAGGTCCCCGCCTTCTTGAGTGAATTATGTTCGGAAAGTGAGAAATACCTGGACTTGGGAGATGAAAGAGGATGCAGTTACTGTGGTGGTTTGGGTCACAGAATCACCGATTGTCCGAAATTGGAAGCTCTTCAAAATAAACAAGCCTCAAACATTGGCAGGAGAGACTATTTGGCCAACACGGCTGCAGATTATTAGATTTTAGTAACATTTTATTAATATTCCCAAATCTTACAATATAAAATATTACACTTACGGAAAATATGATTTACATTATCGAAAAAATTTAATTTGTTCTTAAAAAATCGTAAGCTTTTTTTTTCGTTAAGTCCCTTTAAATATCATGTGCGCCAATAACAACTTCTGTAGCATGTTTTTATAACGAGTGACAAAAAATCTACAATGACTAGAAATATTAACCACATAGCTTCAAAACATTTAAGTAACAAATGCTGAAATAAACCCACTACAACATTTACGAGACAGTCACAATTACTATGCCTTATCAGCCCTCCTTAAGAAAATATGCCTTTTAGAAAATCTACCTTTAAATTTTTTCACTTTCAACAGTATATTTAGGTGGTGTAGAAAATCCAATTTCTTGATAATCTCCCAAAAGTTCAGGATCTTTTTCTTCATTTTCTAGGATTAATTTTTCATCAGGAATATCAACCTCCACTACCTCTTCAGTGTTTTTCTTTTCAGTTGAAAAACTCAACCATAAAGCTACTAAAACCGCTGACAAAAACGCAGTTAGGAGAATCCAACGTGGAATCCCGGAATTTCTGGATGCACAATCAAGCCAATCACCTGAATATTCAGTTGATTTGATTACAATCGTGTCATCCTTGAACTCAATAGGCATTGTTCTAATGTGAGTTTCAGGAATTTTATAATCAATGTTAAAACCTATTTCAAGCTGACTTTTAATACTAGGATCTGAGAGAATGTCGGATTCTAGTATTTCTAAGTCAGGCTCAGCTAAAACAATGTTATGTGACTCATCCTCTTCTGTTATCACCAGAAATGTAGACATATCGCTCTGTCGCTTTTTCGCCATCAAATCACAACCTTTTAAGCAAATTTCATTTTCTTTTGCAACAATGTAAGATTCGTTGCACGCTACAAAGGAAAACAGTTACAAGAATATTGAACAAAAATTGCAAACATACATAAGTGACACTCCTTTCTTGTAATGTTTAAATTTAGTTCGTCCTTAAAATTTATTATGTTAAAAAATCTACAACCGCGTTGGCAAACGATTTGTTCGTAATTTTCCTGCAAAAAACTCTTAATTATAAGAAGAAAAATAAAAATATAGCACTAACCAAGTCAAGTAGGGGCAACTCATTTTCCTTACATAAACTTATACACTGGTCAGTCACTGAAAAAGTGCTTGTGAATATTTCATCTGAAGTTACCGTTTTTAAGACAAAAATGAATAAAAATTTCCACATTTTGTACTTAATTTGTTCCACTATCGGCTGTCAAAAATTGTAAACAATTTTGATGGCGCCCTCTATCTGTCAATCAATTTCAATTTGAAAAATGCGCAAAACACTCTTTTTGTTGTTTTTGCTAAAATTGTCTCTTTGTGAGTATCAATAACAGTAAAAGTCTGCACAACAACAACCGGTTGCTCTAGGTGGTAGCGTGTATCGTCCCTCGTTTTTAAGCGACGATGAAATTGCTCATGTTCGTTTTGAAAGAGATGATAATAGTGCCCCTTGCAATGAAGATGATTTAATGAATTTTCTTGCCGAAATTCAAGTGATCAACCCTGAAAGTGTTGTAAAATTGGCCACTTTAAGCGACATTAAACCGTCATGTAATCGCGTGGCCGAAAATTTGGAAAAAATTAAGGCGTACCTGAAAACTTGTACTCCCCCTAATCAGCCTGACTTGTATTTGCAATTAATCAAAGGAGTTGAAGCACTACATGAAAAGATATGTACCGAATCTCCATTCAAAACCCGTAAATTCACTTAGTTACATGACGCAGATGATTTTAACTAATGCTTTTAGAATTTGAAAAAATTCACAAGTGCCTCCATGAACTGAGAAATGATTTGGAAGACTGCGGAGGACCAGCAGACTGGAACGAAAATTCAGACAATGCTGCTGTTTGCAAGTAAATGAATGAAATAGTTATTGCGTTTAAAAATTTGTTTTTAAGGGCCTACAAAGCCATAGCAGATTGTTATTACATCAAAACTGCTAAAGTCTGTGGAAACAGCGCTGCATCAACGACTAGAGAACTTCTACAAGCAATAATTGACAGCATACTTACAATAAAATGTGACAATGTAAAGGAAACACCTAAAGTTAAAGATCCAATGCCCGAAGAATATATCAAAAAAGAAAACAAGGCATTTTTTTCCCTTAATCATATTTATTTCATTTTAACTTACTGTTTTACAGGCTGACATGATTCTTCCAACTGTACTTAATTTAGTAATAATGACTATAACATTGATTTTTATTTAATCTTTAATGTCTCTAAATTATTGTAATAAAGGTTGTGAAATGAAGGCTACTTTTTCTTAGAGGATCCAAAACCTGCAAATCCCATTATGCTAGCAAGTTCATTTGATTGTTCAGGAGTTTCATATAACATTTCTTCTGCTTTTCGTTTTTCCTTCCTTTTCTCCCTTCTGTACTCTCGTAACTTTTCCTCTTCTTCAGCAATTTCCTGCATGCGTGCTGCCATATCGTAATCTTTCTTCTTTTCCTCCATTTTCCTCTTGTTTTGATCAAATCTTCGTTTAACTGCATCTAAACTACTACGTTCAATCCTCATCGACATTCCTAAGTTTCGCTGATGTTTTTTGCCATTGATATGATCCAAAAAGTTGATTGAATCTTTAACAACACAGTCACAGACATTGCAATAATAACCTCCAGATTGTGATGTTGGTGTGTTTTTATTTATTACAATGCTTTTGCCGAGTTTTGAATCCAAATCAACTTTATATTCTCGAGTTTTTAACAGTTCACGTTTTACTGGAGGGCCTTTCTTTTTCTTTGTTTCTTCTTCAAGACGTTCGATTTCTTCTCTCTTGCGCTCCTCAGCTAATCTCTCATATTCATCCCTGTCCCATTTTCTGCGATGATCGTCAGGCCTCATCGACATTTTTGAGTATTTTTCTTTAACAGAATTACAATTAATTAACTAAAACTTCAGTTACAATAATAATAATGTTGACAAATTCGGAGTTCAGTTTGACAACTGTCAAAATTTTAGGTTAGTTTTAGGAATTTTAACACTGAACTCAGTGAATTTTAAGTTCACTTTTGAAAAGGCGGCAAAAATGTATTGTTTAAATATTAATGTTTCAACAAAATTGAAAAATTGAACTTCTTTCGTACTTTCTTTTATTATTTATTAAATTCAGTCAAAGTTGATGTCGCAGAAGCAAAATATAAAGAAATATTTAAAGTATTACTTCTCTTTACTACTTCAAGTGCATCTACTTGAAATCTTAAGCGAATATACCTAATAAAATTTGAATATTGTTCTTGTGAAAATTTGTCTTGTCGATCACGAAACAACCACGATCCATATTCGTCATAATTATCAAAATCGCAACAACAAATTTTAGCGTACCTACATGATGTAAATCCTCAAATAAGTGTTGGGATTATGGCGAAGTAGTCTCATCAAAAAAAACTTATTTCAAGAGGATGATGGAAATTGGAAACTTATTAAAGATATGCCACTTACTCTAGAAGCAATTACAAGTGATATACCAATTATGAACAAGTTCTCTTTGTGTTTACGACTTTGTGTTTGTTTCCACCACCAGTGGTCATCCTCAGATGAGAATAAAAGTTTTATTAAATTGTACTTGTGTTCATCAAACTAAATAAATAATCTAGTACGAATGACTATAATTTTTCTGTTTTGAAAAACCAAAATAAGTTCATTCTGACTTTCTTAAATTTTCACCACTTTTTGGTCCAATTTTAGGTATAGTGTGTAAATCTAAAGTACCTCCTTCTAGGAAACTAAAAAAGTATTGTATGATTTTCCAAACTTTGTTAATGTTTAATCATTTCTTTAGGTTCCCAAATCTGCTCCAGAAATTAGAATTTACATAAATAATGTTACAATTTATTAGTTATTGAAATTCAAAAAGCAGTTTTTAAAAAACTTGCAATATTGTTAGGAAATGTTTTAATATTAACGAAATTCATTTTAATACCAACAATAATAATAATAACATTAATAACTTAATAATAATTCAATCCATGAAGTTGCGAGGCAGATCTGTAGTGACGCTAGATTGGGAGATTTAAGGGGTTTTACTTACATTATTCTCATATTAAACAATTCATCAAAATCACAATATTATTACTTGATAACAATATCCATACCTAATGGTGAATCTTGCCTGACTGCAGGTTTAAGCTGCCGGGTCAGTGGAGTGAAAAGGTTGTAAAAATTATTTGTAAGAACATTTATGACTTAAATAATTGTCTGCCAAATTTTTTCCTCTTCTTTTGCCGGGACAAATATTATACCTAATTAAAATGAAATTTCTTCTTTGCGCATTTTTCATTTATCACTTTATTTGCTTGCGTTTGCACATTTATGACTAGCATCTTGCAAAATAGAAATGTTACCTTAGTTATCAATGTTGTACACAACGATAGACTTCTCTTAAATGTAAGAGCTTAAGTATTCAGACTTAAAATTAAGCTCTAATTTTAGTACGCAAAAAATACAACGAAATTAGCTGAACATATCGCATCCAAGCCACTAGAAATCCACGTCGTTTCAAATCATAAAATAACAGAGTGGAATTTTCAATTGTTGATGTCTGGTTAAATTCAAAACGAGGATTTTTGGTTGTTAATGAAACCACTTTTTTAGATCAGAAAAACTTACTACCAAATATTTTATGTCTACTTGCGAAAATCAAAAAGCCTTATTCAGGCAGGTCAAGTGTTAGTTGAATATTACCTTTTGTATAAAAAGTGAATATTTGGTGGAGATCTTGCTGAATTACACCGTCGCAGCTAACGAAAATGCAACAGCAGCACAGAAAAATGCCATCCAAACCATTAAAAGGACGAATTACAGGTAGGTCTGGTAGGTATGTACATACTTTTAACAGACTCAGCCTGTATAAATAAATGATAAAAGTGTCTAATTTTATAAATCAAGATTAGTTCGAATATCTGGGACAAAAAATAATTTCACGTCTTTAGAAACATTCTAATTAGGTTTAACTTATACCGAGTGCTTTTGCTTGAACTATTTACTGTCCAGGACAACTAATTTGTGAATTACGAGTAACAGACTTGAATAAAACTCAAATAGATTTTCAAAAACATGTTTTCCGGAATTTTTTTCTGTTTGTTTTAAGATTGAACTCGTGTTGTTAAAAAATATGCAGGCTAGATTATAAAAAGCACCAGAAGCCATAACTGCATTATTTTTAAAGGTAGATATCTATCTATCTATACCTACGACAATGTTTCTTTAAGTAAAGTTGAACAGTTTTTTTCCTATCAGTTTGTTTTAGATAAAACCAATCAAAAAATTCGATTTTTGCTTTCTATTCTATTATTATTGCTTTTAGAAGAGTAATAGTTAGTGATAAATAATAGTTAGTGAGCTTTTTGAAAGCAATTTAACAAAGAATTCAAAAATAATGAAATATAGGTAAATTTTAAAGAACTGAAATTGATGTTACTTCCGGTGAAACAAAAAGCAGCATTGATTGAGCATCTATTTCAAAAAATAGATGACAATACAACTTTATGTTCTAAGAAGCATTGCCATATCTTAAAAAATCATGGAGTTATGGCTTGGGAAGATTTTTTATATTCATTTGGGTTAATTTTAAAACTGTAGCGGTCTTTATTAACTACAAAGTTTGTCAGAACAGTTTAAAAAATTCTATCTGTCCAAAAAAGTTGACATTTATTTTTTGACATTTTTTATGTCTATTTAAATTATTGATACTGATAATCTTTTTCGTCGTCTGCGTTGATTGACAGTAATAAAAGTCTGGGTAATGCCAAAAAATGGCCGTTGGGGGAGCGACGAGTCCTGTATATTTTGGTTTGAAACCTTGATAAATTTTTGTATACAAAAATTTACTTTTGTGTTTTGTGGGTTGTATAATAATTTTTTTGTTGATTGTAATTTTTCCTAAAAACTAGACCAAAAACATCAAAAATTTAAACATTTTATACGCAAATATAATTTTATTTATTAACAAAAATAAAGGTTTACATTTGGGTTAGATAGTTATTTTTATTCTTTACAAATTCACAAGAGCATTAACATATTACAATAACTCTTTATTATTTCTTCAATACTTGAAAATACTTCAAAATTTGATCAAGTAAAAACACAGCCCTTGGTTCTAAGTTCTTTGCATCTGACTCAATTTTTACTACACAATGTTGACCTTTACTGTAATTGTTATTTTTTTCCTGCATTTTCTTTAGTTTTTCTAGTTTATTTTCATACAGCTTATTCAACTTTTGAAATCTTACATTTGCTTCCTGTTACTTTTTTTTTAAATTTTGAATTTTATCTAGAAAGATAAATTTTCTGCCGAACTTATTGCATCTGAAACATTTTTTAAATCAAAATCATGAGTATCACCTACTTTTAAATCGCTTTGTTGATCAAAATCAAATCGAAATGGACTTGAAATTATATAATTTTTGTCAAATGACTGGAGATTGGAGACACGGTGCAGGCGTTTCTAACGGCTTACGTTCTGAATTAATGGAAGTGGTAGAAATTACCTGAAAACGAGTAATTCTTTTATAATTCAAGACCAAGGATGGAACTGCAATTGGTAACAATTTTTTGTTTTTGTAATAGCTCGTTATTTCAAAGTGTTTTCCACAAATCACGGAATTTGGGGGTATATTGCCGATAGTACCAAATATTCTCTTAAGCCATTCGTTTTTTGGATTCCTACTTTTTGGAAATCGATGTAAAATAACCTCCTCTTTCTCCCCTTGTCCTCAATTTGGAACACAGCAAGTTCGGATACTTGGCATTTTAAAAAATATAATGTAATGTTTGAAACTTTGAATGATATTGATACTGCGCTTCTTAAGCTGAAAAAATGTATTAATTGTGTGACAGATCAATATTTTATTAAATGTGTCAACAATTGTAACATTTAATTTCCTGCAAAATTTTCAAATTTCACAAATTACAGTTTCCTTTGGAGCGTGACGCGCGCGTCATCTACCGGAATTTACCATTTTGAGAAGTTCACGATTTTGGTCTATTGTCCAGACTTTTATTACTGTCAATCAACGCAGACGACGATCTTTTTTATGTTTTTTTATTATTACATATTCCAGAAAGGTATAAAAAATTTGTCAATAAAAGCCAAACCAGTATTTACCTAATTGTGTAATCTTGTTTTTTTTTTTTCTTTTAATGATATTTCTTGGTGGTAAAAGCTTGGAACGTCCCAGACCAAAATTATATACTCGTTGAACAGTTGGACCAAAGCTGTGTTATGTCAGTTTCACAGTTTGGCTATTTGCCTTGGGAAATAATCGTCACTTCCATAACAACAATCTAGATTTTTATTTGATTTACACTCTATTTCCTCCTTCTCAGTTTAATGTTTTAGAAATTGTCAAGAAATATGTCGATCTTCACTAGTGGTATGCTGATGGAATTACAAATACATATAATCAAAAAAAAAATAAAACTATGGGACTCCTAGTAAATCCTCTATCGATGGGTAGATCCGACAAATCCAGATGCGTTTAGAATTGTTGACCCTAAGATAAAATTATTAGGTAATTTGTGAAATGTGGTCAATTTGGGATGCTTTAGAATATACAGGTGTTCCGTTTTTATTGTTACAAATTTAAACAGGTGATAGAATATTCAATTTTAAGACAAAAGTTTCCTATGAACATGTATCAAAAATGTTATGTAAGAGATGCGTTTTTTAATATGGTTTTCCCACTATTGCAGAAAAGATAAAATTACAAAAATTGGTACAATTGATAACCTTTAAACACCTAAACGAATTAAAAAAATAGTTGTCAAAATTTTTAATCACGGGTGCCTTAAACGGTAAAACGAATTTAATTTTTATCATATTTATAGTCTATAACACATCATATTCTAAACTCATTTTATTCAAAAACGGTAAGTTGTATCGAAAAAACGCAAGAGACCTTATTTTGTGAAAAACTATTGAATTTTGAATTTTGTGGCTAAAAATGGCAAGAACCAACAGCCAAAATAGTTAGGGTACTTTTTACCTAAACCCCATCAGTTTAGAACGCCCCTGAGTAAAAATTTCGACATTTTATCTTTGAATTCGTTTGGATGCATAAAAGTTATCACTTGTACCAAATTTTGTAATTTTATTTTAAAATGGTTTCTGAAATATTGGACAAAATCCATAAAAACATGCACCCCCTTCAGGGGATGTAGCTCCCTTATATAAAATTTACCGATACATGTTCATAGAAAACTTTTATCTTAAAATTGAATATTCTATCACCTGCTTAAATTTGTAACTATAAAAACGGAACACTCTGTATAGTGGGAGAAAATATTATAATTGCCCCTATAATATTGAACAAGGGTGCAGTTTCTACAGATATGTTTCTCTCATTGAAGGATGGAAATAATGCTACAATGTACGAGGATAGTACGACTCTCAAAAGTTACCCAGCCCCAATTGATGTTCTGCCTCTATTTCGAAAAAGTGAAAGACTAAAATTTCTAATTATTTTTTATTAAATATTGTATTGTTACAAGTACAAAGTTACAAAATTACAATAAATAAGTCATTACAAAATTTCAAACTTTGTTTTCGTTAACATTATCTTCGCGGCCCATTGTCTCAGCAGCTCTCATTTCTTCGGCCATCGTTGCTGATTTGTTGTCACCTCCCTCATTGACTCCCCAACCTGGGTTTGGCATTTTCACTTTTCCTTCCATCGCCATGGAATCTCTCGCTTCAGCCATTTGGGTCATCGTTTCAATAGTGTGTTTCTCCTTTTCCTCTTGACTTGGAACTCCATGAGTGGTGGATTGTGTAATCTTCGACTCTTCAGCTTCCCTGTATCCAACTGGAGAAGGATAACCGTGCGGTTTGGGGACAGGGCCGTAAGTTGGTGGAGACATGTAAGCTGGAGCTGGGGCAGGGCTGTGTGGTTTGGGAGCAGGAGCGTAAGCTGAAGCTGACGGAGGAGGGGGGCCGTAAGCTGGAGCTGGAGCTGGTTGATATGAAGGTTGAGGAGCTGGAGCTGGTTGGTATGTGGGTTCGGGGGCTGGAGCTGGTTGGTATGAGGGTTGGGAAGCTGGAGATGGGTGAGTGTAAGCTGGAGCTGGCTGGGGGTAAGTTGGGGCAGGAGCTGGTCTATATGATGGGGCTGGAACAGGATAAGAAGGAGTTGGTGCGCTGTATGAAGGGGCTGGAGCAGGAACACTATAGCTGGGGGCGGGTTTATAAGCTGGGGCTGGTTTATAAATGGAGGCGGAATATGATGGGGCATTGTAGGAGGGTTTGTAGTAAGATGGTGGGGGTGGTACCTTGTATGCGGGGGCTGGTGGTGGGGCGTAACCACCGTAACCTCTCGGAGGACTTGGTCTTTCATATCTTCCATAGGATGACCTTGACATGGCCGATCTGTAGCCTCCATATCCTCCCATGTTTCCACCATAAGGTCCAGCACCGTAGCTTGCACCATGACTGGGGATGGTTGCTGCATATCCTGCCAAAGAGGGTTGACAAGTAATGACTAATCCATTATGTCCTTTCTTCGCCTTGTGTTTTAAAGCTGGTTGAAGATAAGTCATGGGTAATCCATACTCTTGTCCCGCAGATCTCGCTGCGTGGTCCAGAAGTTCATCAGAATGTTCTTCCTCTTCTTCGGGCATATCTGCCATGCCATCGTCGGAACGGTAGGAGACTGAGCTGTATGAAGAGGGTGAATGGGCGGCATATGGCTTTGATGAACCGTATGCCGGGGCTGACGTAGGCTTTGCGGGGGCGGAGTATACTTTTGCGGGTGCTTCGTAAGCGGGAGCGGGCTTGGGGGTAGCGGGTTTGGGTTCTTCGTAAGCCGGTACGGGGTAGTAACCTTGAGCAGGAGCGGCAGCTGGGGCTGCATACGGTTTGGATTCGGCGGGCTCGCAAATTTGGAAGGGCCTCTGGTAGGGTCCGCTGGGTCGGATTTCTACGCAAAGGGTAGTAGTGGCGGATTTCTTTTTGCGGATGGCGTCGGTTTTGTCTTCGGGTTGAACTAAAGTTGGATCGAGAGCTTTGGAGGCTTCTTCTGTGGCGTTTTTCGGAGAGTCTTCGGTCTTTGCCTGAGTGAAGGCGATAAAGATGAGAAGCACTAACACTTGTAAAGCACGAAACACTTCCATGATGTTGATGAGGAACTGACTGGTCGCCACTGATTGACGAGGAAAAGCGATGCGCTTTTATATTGTTAGGTTGTGTAGTTGTCAGCAATTTTCAATAAAATTCGAACAAGGTGGCCACAGATTTTACCCTTCATGCGAATAGCACCCTCTGAGGTAGGGAAGTATTTATGTCTTTTTAACTTGCAAAATATAGTTGGGAAGAATTAAATATTTTTTTATTTCTCATCTGTTTGGTGATTACTTGGCAGCTAATAAAAATTTACAAGTCAACAATAATTAGGTCAAATATTTTAATGAAATGCAGTTATTGGAATTATGCAAATCTTAACAGTTTGCTATTCTTATAAAAAGTGAAAATTATGAATTTTATTTACTTTATTATTTTTTATAAATTTTATGAATCATTTTTATATGGAAGAGAAATTATGAATAAACGCAACTAATCCAAATATTTTACCGAATATAAAAGAATACTGAAATTTAATTATCTTCAACTTATTTTTTTTTACATATTTGATTTGTTCTAATTTTTTATTTGAAGATTTAAATAAATAAATAAAACAGATATTTAAAATGCATCATTAAAAAATAACTAGGTCAATATTGGAATGCAGTCATAAACAAAAATACAGTTGGGTTAAAATGTTTCTTTTTAACAAATACATACTTCTCAAATTAAAAATATTTTTAAATTATTCTTTAAAATAAATACTATGTATAAAATTCAAATTATGTGTCTATAATATGTCTACAATAACATTATAATTTAAGTCATAGTAATTTTCAAATTGTCTAAAAACAAAAAATAGTGATATCAAATAATAAATAAATAATAGTGAAGGTTGTTAGAAAACAATTTAACGAGGAATCCAAGAATAATAAAATATACAGATCTGAAATTGATGTCAGTTCCGATGAAAGTGGAAGCAGCATTGATTGGACATCGATCCCAAACAACAGATGATAATAAACTGTGCAACTTTGCTCTAAGAAATATTATCATATCTTTAAAAATAATGCAGTTATGGCTTGGGTCGTTTTTCGTAATCCGCCTGTATAAAGTAAAATTAATTATCTGAGCAAGAAGCATATTAAAAACCCGAGAGATGAATTTTTTTTATTAAATCTGCTAAGAAATATCAGTACGAGTAACTGTAACAATTTTCTATACTGACTAAAATCAACTTCAACCTAAATTTCAGCATTTTTTTTAAATTTGATTTTTATATTGTAGGTATTCGAGGTTCAAAACTGTAACCTGTAAATTGTAAATCTTTTCTAAAAAATATAACGCTTTTTTATTTACTTAAACAATTTTATAAACTTGGATTTATTTCGGATTTAAAATAAAACAATTACTCATCTCATTTTTATTCGCAATACCAGTAGTAACCTTTGTCTCATTTCGATGTAAAAAAGTATTCTTTCAGCAAATACTTTAATCCTTACTAGAGGTGAATAAACTAATGTGGCATAAATAGAAATAATGTCGACTTTCGCAATTATAGCGTAATTAAATGTGGTTTTAAAGTTTTTTATGCAAAAAATTTTGTTAAATAAAATAAAAAATGTTATATGCACTAATATACAGCGTAATTTTGAAATACATAGCAATACTTAAACTGGTATAGTGGCGGACAGTGAATTTCGTCCGCCCTTTATCCGTGAATTCACAAAAATTCACTTTTAATCTGTGCTTATTTTTATAATAATTGTCATTCAGATACGTATTGTCAAATTTAATCAAATTCTTATTCATTTTCATTTGCAACCTAAAAATGGATTGGTACTGTATCTCTCAAGCAATGTAAAACAAAGGAACAAAGCACAAGTAAAAAGTAACAAAGGAGCATCGAGCATCTGTCAACATGAGAAACGTTAATCAAAATTCTGAAACAAGGCTCATTTACACTTTTAGCCTGAAATGAAAATTGGGCGGGTGAAATTCACTGTCCGTCTATTTTTGTCAAATACATATTTTTCATAGCTTCTATTACCTACAACATTTCTGGACTTAAATAATATCCTGTATTCCAAAATCATCCTGTATTTTGCGACCAACATACAGGATGCGACAGAACTCGCGCCACAGAGAAAAATGTCATAGTACAGTTGGTTGCAAAGGGAAAATAGAATTTTCTTTAAATTGAAACAGGTTCTGTCCTTGTTAATTTAGTTGTCAATTTGTCATCCGTCGCATTCAAATCATTTTTTCTGCAATGTCGCACTTAAATGAGAGCATCAAATGCAAATCAAGATAATCAATTAGTTGAGTACTTACGTGAAAACCCAATGAGTAGTGAGTACTACAGATTAACTGTCAGTTCTAACTTAACTTTTTAGAATTAAGCCATGTTCAAAATATGGATAAATATACATTTTTATTTTTGACATTTTTATGCCTTGATATTTTCCGTTTTTTTGCAACCAAGTGTACGATACTAGGAACATGAAAAAAATGTTAAAAAAATTCTATCTATAAAATTGTTGAAGTTATGAGAGTTTAAATTTTGCACTTTGACTCTATTTATTTCTGTTGGTAATTGTCCAAGTTTTTTTGCGGCAGGCTACAGCTAAGGAAGCTGTAGCCTAAATTGTAACTCTATTTAATGTTATTTGTGGCTTTTATTGACAAAATTTTTGTACCTTTACTAAATAATTATAATAAAACATATGAAAGATTATCAGTATCAATAATAGACATAAAAATGGCAAATGGCAAAAAATAAATGTGAAAATATTTTGACAGGTAGATTTTTTTAAACATTTTTTCCATGTTCCTGTTATCTTATCCTACTTGAAATTTTTCTCTGGGACGCGAGTTCTGACACACCCCGTATGTCTAACCAGTTGACATACATTACTTGCTTTTTTTTTTGTAGGTATACGCTCCCAAAAATAGCTATTTTTCGGACTCATTTAAGTCCCCGAAATGAGTCTTTTTCGGACTTATGAAAATAAGACAAAATACAGTCTTTGGGAACAAAAAAGTCAATCTGGTTACTATGATAGCATATAGGCATCAAAATTCGAAGCTAACTATTTTCGAGAATATTTTGCTCTGATGATATTAATCCTAAATAATAAGAGGTGTAAATATGTTTATAGAAGATTTAACAAACAAATGTTATTTGTAACACGTATTTAAAACATTTTCGCTGACTCATCTGCTAGTTTCGCGCTTCGTACGGAAATAACAGAAATTCGTCCGCAAAAACTGTATTTTATAGAGATAACTGGTAAACATAAAAAACTGGGACATAAAAAAATTGTTCATTATGTATCAAATTTTAAGTTGTCACGATTGACACTCAAAATAAAAATTGTCAGTTTAACTCTTTGATCAAATAAAAAAAAATGTTTAATTTACCAGACGTGCAAAAGCAAATAACGTCTTCAAGATCTACTCATGAAAAAAGTCCACTCGTGACTTGATCACCCGTAAACTTAACCTTTTCACTGGTAGATAAACAATTTCTTTATCGTCTTGTATAATAATTGTTATTTATTATACAAGACGATAAAATTGAATTTTATCTTTGAGAGCAATTTAGCGTCGAGGCGTCAGCCGACTCATTTTGTAGTCAATTTGGTCGATATTTATAAATGTCAAAGTAAAATTCTACAATGAAATCTAATGTCAAATGTCGTTAGCAACTAACAACCGCAGATGTACAACAATGGATGTATTTTTTTTTTTCATTTAGACGATAAAATTTAATTTTAACATGAAGAAAAGAGTAGATAAAATTCAATTTTAACATAGAGGATTGAATAAATAACTATCATAATATAAATTTGCATTATTTGTTTTATTTTCTTAAAAAAAATCAAAAGCAAACGACAGTATACTCGTCCTCATTATCAAGCAACAAAGTCACGACAAATTACTTAATCAATAATCAACACCTGCAATCTTTCGCAATAAATAATTTATTAATAAATAAGTTTGTTAACATTTTTTAAACAATGTACATCACAACTTGCTCAACTTTTCTTTACGCAGAATCTTTACATCATTGGTGAGATTCAAGAATCTCACTTTCTGCTCCAACCTCCAAAATTTCTGGTTTTTGTTTATCCCCCTTTTCCATTTTCTCTACTGCCTTTTGATTTATGTTTTTCTGGCTCATGTCAATTTCTTTGAACATGGCTAAAGCAGGATTGGTTGTAGATGATGGTTCCGGGCGAATGGTTACTTTTTCGATGATAACTTCTTTGGTTTGACTAAGTGGTTCCTTCAAGTACTTTTCTTGAATTTCAACATTTTCCATATCGTGCGCCTCTTCCGTCAATTCGGACTGTTCCATACTCAGCATATCAACAATGGGAGGAGCGTCGTCAGGCTTTACATAGACGTCTGGTAAAGCAGTAATACTCTTTGATACTGGGATTTCACCCACCTTCCACATCTTGTTGTAATCGACTTTAATGTCCTCTTCTGGTTCTTCGTCAAATTCGCGTGTGTGAAGCTCGGTTAAATCGGCAGGAGTTATATTTGGAAAGTAGGTCACGGGAACTTTGGCTTGGTATTGTCTAGGGTCTGCTCCAGCACCATGGGTGTGATAAGTGTTGTAATAAGGAACTTCTTTTCTCACGCGGTTATCAACTAAAACCACTTGTTGCGTTGGCTGAACTGAACCCATTCGACTTTGGATAAAACTCGGTGTCACTTTAAAAACAGGGTTATCGTAGTAACCACAATTATTGTCTTTTACGAGAACAATTTGTCTGTTTGTGTTGTAACAAGATATTAGGTGTGGATACATCAGAGCTGTTACAATTGCGATGTTTGATACCCACATGTTTGCAGATTTCTAATGAAAAAAAAACATTTATGACTTTTTTATATTTCAGGCTTCGAGGTCAGTTCATGCGAATACCAAGGTAAAATTTGGTCTTAAATAAAAATATTTACTTTTTGTCCAAAATCACATGGCCGCCGTATTTATGCGGGATTGGCTTTAGCAACAACAAATTTGCTTATTCAAGATGTTTCGTTGTTGAACTCGTAATTATTGT